TTTTGGTTTCATCTTTTAAAAGCAGCTTTAATACAATTCATGGAATTCACTGAAGTTAACCAAATTTGCTCCAGGTCTCAGGAGGAGTTTGAACTCTTGAAGGATCAACAGAAACTTCCTGACTGCTTTTAAAATCCTGCAATTAGGATTTTTTTTAAACTGGGAAAACATATTTTAACAATCTATAAGAAGCTTTTCTATTGCTAAATTTTACTGACACCTTTTGTGCGTGTGCATATGTTTTTAAATAGCCTATTAGTTCATGAACCAATCACACTTTTCATTATTTTTATACAAAACAGAGAGAGTTGCACCATGCTATTAATAGAAAACAAGATCATGACTTTATAGCTGGATTTATATTCATTTTCATGAGACAAACATGGTCTCAAAATGCTTCAGGGACAGGGCACATAACAGTAAAGAAAATGCAGAGACTCAGGTGTGTGTTTTACATAACCCAAACAACCACAACCCAGGCAAAATTGAATTAGGGAGCTATAATCCCATCCCAGGGGTTACAACGACTGTATGATTCATTTGGGCTGATTCAGCAATGCACCTAAACAAACACCCAGGTCCCATTGCTGCCAATCATCACAGGCCCTCTGGAGCATCAATACAGCGGTTACTGTGATCCTGGAGGTATCCTACATTTTGACAAACTTGGAACGTCTGTGGCTATCTGAGAGGAAGTAATCACATTTCATCTTCAGCACAAAGGGCAAAGAACTTGCTGACCTTATTTCATCTACAAACTTCCAAGCACATGGAGACAACAATCCCAAAGGTGGCTTTTGAAGTTACAAGAATGTAAATATTATGCAGAGACAGGAAAACTTACAGAGTATATTCATTGCTTGACTAGTGCTTTTATTCAAAACAAGGAAAAAACTAACCAACTGTGGAATTATTTCCCTTGGTGTTTTCTTTACAACTTGTAACTCACTGTTCTCCCACTGGTATTTGGAGAAGGAAGAATGAAAGCACCAAGATGACGCAGTCTCCATTCCTCCTTGACTGCTGACATGGAAAAATGTCTATTTTTACAGGAAGCAAAAAAAACCAAACCAAAAAGCACAACCAAAAGAAACCCAAAACAGTTTTACTTCCCTGGCTATCAAAAACCGAACCAAGCATTTTTAGTTTAGAAATAGGTAGAGCCAATGTGAGCTCTTTAAAAGACACAAATCATGGAGCAGAACTCCATTCTGACAAGCTGCCTAGAAATATTTTACATAAACAGCTGCCCCAGGGGACTCCAGTTGCCTTAACATTAACCTGCTGAGGGGGGAAACAAAAACGTAGATCCCAAACACTACACTTGCATCTTTCTTCTTTGCCTGGGAGATGAGCAGCTAAAATAGAGAAGCCTGGTTTCCTGCAGGTTTGTTTCCTAAAGCTGAGCCCAAAGGTGATTTCCTTTGGTGTCCAACAGGGCATGAAGTCACCCTGAAGCCTTTTTGACAGCAAAGGTCTTCACTCACAATGTATCTCGTTGTAGGAACTTGCAGATATTTTGTAACTTTGAGGCCTCCACTCCTTTGTAACTATATCAAGTTGGAGTTACCATAGGAGCAGATGAGACGCATAAACACAGAGTACGATTGCATAAATCATCTCCTTAGAATATAGAAAGACCTGAAAGGGGGCAGACTTCTCTATTTCTTTAGGGGGAGAGACCAATTTAAAAAACCCAAACAAAAAATAAGAGATCAGTTTACTCTTTTTTAATGGAAATAAGGCTTATGAGATCACCCATAAGCACTGCCACACGTGTATGGGGCAATTTTCCCCATGAAACTATGAACAAATCTAAATTAAATTTAACAGAGGGAGAGCATCTTTTCTCAGAAGCACAATATCTACAAGTCTCAAGAAGACAGGCAGCTGGGTAAAGAGAAATATCCTATAATAACCATGGAGGGAAATGCTGTAACAAAAACTCCACCTCTATTATGTATCAGGCAACCCAAATGTTAGAAAGATATTATTAATGAGAAAAAAGGGAAAAGGTTACATTCCTGATTTTTGTGTTTTTGCTAAGCCAGCCACATGCTGGGGACTTACAGCTACCTTAACTCAGCAGTTTGGGGTTTCCCTGGTGAAATGTGGGGGAAATGATCTGCCCTAACTGTAAAATTAGGAGAATTTGAGAAGCTGCTCATAACCTGCCTGATGAACCCAGCAGCACCAAGTGTCGCTCTACAGTATTCAGACTTTATATATGGAAAGATGTGGATATTTACACCTTCTTTAAGGCATATTCCTCTAAGCTGAAGGAAATAAACCCTGGGCTCAACAGAGTGGAGAGAAAATCTTTTCTAGAGGCAGTGCAGAATAAGAGCTTCTGCTCTCTTCTCTTAATCTTGCTCTCATAACGCAACTGAAGCACACAAAGCTCTTAGCACTGTCCAGCTCAGTCTTCACTATTAGAAAGACAGTTTCTTGCATTATTAATTAGAGAAACATGAAAATATTTTGACCAGGTCACTATGATAACGTTGCGGAAAGCTACTTTGAAACCCTATCTGAACAGTTGTAGTCTTCAGTAAACTAAACAGCAACCAGGAAAGCCCATAGCTTTGTCACTCAAATGAGGATACAACCATAGGTAGAGACTTGGCAGGAATCGAGGGAAAACACTGCCTATAGTAAGTGACTTGCACATGCCTACCCACTTCCCCTCGATCTTTGCTAATCCACCCAACTATACACGGTTAAGTTGTGTAACTCCCTCATGACATAGCTTGTGATTCTATCTTATCAAAACCTAACCAATGCAGTTACATTAGGAAAAAAAATATTACTAGCCACTTTAAGTAACCATAAAAAGACTTTGTTGTCTTATTGTGCAAAACCAAGAGTGAAACAGAATTAACTGTCGCAGGGTGAATTTGGTGAATGCTATTTCATATTATATACTTTGAAAACAAACTTCTAAACCCAGCAGAATCAGCTTTTACAGCAATAAAGTATTTTAACAATAATGTATATTATTACTTTACCTTACAGTTCAGTAGCTCTAGAACAAAGGAGGAAGAGTAATGGAATATGTTTTCAGCTTGTTGTTCCAGGCTAGTGGAAACATACACTTCTTCTTTTACTAAGGTTTTGAACGTTTATCAGTTGTAATGTAAGCCTTACGTTCCCAAGATGAAAACACAATAGTCTTATGAAAAACTCTGCTCGTTCTGTCAACTTTTCTGATAGTAGCATGTGGGTAACTAACACCCCAAACTACAGATTTGCAAGTCATTAAGTTTCCACTTAGCAAACAGCTAAAAAGGAAGCTGTCCTAAATAAGAGTTAGTATCAGCAGTCTTACAGTTTCAAATACTGTAAGATAAAGCAAAGAGTCTCAGTATTAGTAATAACTGCTATTAGAGCACAGACAGTTTGGAAGGCAGACTCCCATCCATACAAACCACGGAAATCTAACCCGGCATGGTCTCTATTGCAAGGAAAACAAAAAATAAGTCAGTCAGACAAGCTATGCAACATTTCTCCTGTACTAGATTAGCACCTACTGCTCTACAATACTTACATTTATTAACCTTCAACTTGCTTCCATCTACTGGAATTGGATCTATATAATCCCAATAATATTCATACGACCAAAAATACTCAGAGGAGTTTGTTCTGTTAGCCATCTCAGTAGTGCATTTTAAACCAGCTCAGAACTCCAACCAAATACTTTTTGTCATCGTACTTCAGCGCCCTCAGAAAGAGATTGCATAACTGATGCCTGTGTAAATCACTCTGAAGTCCCGCAGCTCAAGGACTGCCTTGGTACTAAAAAACATCTAGCAGCAGTGAATATTAATGTCTGACAGATGTGTAACAGCAGCCCTTAAAATGTAATCCTTACTTCCTGGTGGGCATTTATGTTATTCCTCAGCATATTTTACACTGAGATGGATGTCAAGCAAGCTAAGAATGGGGTGGACAAGTGCCAGCTGGGTGACAAACCCTTCCCTCTCAGAAACTCCCAGCAACGCAGCGCACTCTGGAGCTACTGAAAACAGCTGGGCTGAAAAGCATTTCTGGATTTCTCTTGACGCAAGACCTGATAAAATGCTTCGTAAATTAGGGACGCATTCGAATAACCATATGCTTTGCTTTGCTACGCCTTCACTCTCTCCACCCCAAGGCAATGGATGGAAAGGCAGGCTCCCAGCCCAGACCAAGACAGGCCAGTGGACAGCATTTGTGCCCAGGCCAATGCACGCACCCGTGCTTCGCTGAGGTGTACTGAGTCGATACTGCTCAGCCTAAATGTGAAACAGTGCCTCAGGCTGTGCCCCTACATTTAGAAGCGGGAGTGAGGTGCGAAAACGCAGCACAAAAACGGCCCGGTCGGTTACGGGCAGCTCTCAAGGTACCCATCGCCATCTCCTCCGTGCCTCTCCACCGGTACAACGCTCGAGGTTCCCCCGAGCCCCCACCGGGCTCAGCAGCGACCCAGCACCGGCGTCCCACAGCCCCTCCCGGCGGCGGGGCGGGACCTCAGTGTGGGCAGGACGGACGCTGCCAGGTGCCGTGCGTCCCCGCCCCCCCGGCCGGGGCGACTGTTATTCCCCGCCCCGGTAGCTCCCGAAGTGGGG